TGTGCGCATGCAAACTTGGTGTCATGATAAAGTTCATTCTTGCCCTCCTTGTGCCTACCACCCTTTTCCACATATGGGCCCCAAGCCATATTTAAGGCCTTGGTGATTTCACTGAAATCATAATCTTTGGACTTATTGGAGTTAAGGTAGGTAACCCTACTCCACTTAGGTACGATGACTAGGAGAATCCAATGTCGCCTGCGCAGTGGTTATGTAGCGTTAGTACTAAGAACCTGAACTTAAAAAACAATATACACGAAGGGTATTGTCCTCTTACTCTTGGTTGTGTGCGCACATGATGTACTCCTTGTCTTGATGGGCCCATAAACACCGGTTGACATAGTCAACCACCTCAGTGAAGCTCTGTCGTAAATTAACCTCATTCACCATGGATGGATCAAGGAACCCAACCTGATTACCATGGCGACGACTCTCGATCCAACACAACCTTAAAATATGTACGTATTAGAACTAATTTAATTAGGAGATATAGTCCAGTCATATCACAAGTATAGAAGGTATGCACTTACAAGGAGTAGCATTTTAGAAGACCAGTGTCCAACTTCCGGATCCTGAAAAGGTCGAAGAGGTCATCAAAGCCTATAGTTATATATGCAGGCGACGATAGGAACGGCTGGTGGTCGTGATGTCCAACTATGGATGACTCCCTCATTTTCCGCTTGGCATTGCTTAGCTCCATGTATTGCTTATGTAGCTCTCGGCAAGCAATACCCATCACAGCTAACACATTGTCCTCCACCAATGGCATGCCTAGCTCAAATTGGGCTGGCGCCCTCACGACCTTCCCCGATTTGCTCACCGGCATCGACGTCGCAGCCTTGCCCCTTTTTGGCTCCGGCGCCAACTCCCCGACCTTCCCCTTGCCGCGTTCACGCTTCTGGCCCTTGACAAGTGGTGGGGAGCTATCGGCCTTTCTTGTGGTCTTTATTGGAGCCAAGCTTTGAGCTATATCTGCCAAGTCCATATCAGCTCCACCGGGAGAATGAGGTACTGACAATGCCGGTCCACGGGGAGCCTCAATTGATAGCTTAGACTTGGGAGGTGTAAGCTCCGTCGGTCGACTTGGACGAGGAGTCATCTTCACAACTATGTCTTCTTTGGGCCATTGTATGAACGTCTTGCGCGCATCGCCCAAAGTCATGATTTCATCATTTGGGGGCACGGGCAGCGGATAGCCGGACCAGGTGTCCTTTACTGTATCGATGGACACCTTGGCATACCCAGCTAGCAGGTCTGCGCCGTGGACCTTGTCTGTAACCGAGGGCTTGAAAGCCATGCCCTCAGCGACTTCAGGAGCGAAAGTTGGGTGGACTCTCGCTAGTAGGACACATTGTGCTGCGCCCTGCATAAGGTGAAAGTTTGAATTTAATATTGGAATGTGTACATGTCTTTTATTACATATGGATCGGATAACAACAATTACCTCGATGTGGTCCACTGCAGCTAGTGGTGCGATAGGGAGAGCAGGGGCCGGCACCTCTGTGGATGCACAACTACTCCTATGCTGTGACGGACTCGCGTCGTGTTGTACACCCGGAGTTGGTTGCACAGCAGGTGTTGTGACTCGGGGTATATTCATGTCGGCGAGGACCTTGTTAACCCTTTCTTCCACCCTTGCATCCATGCTAGCTTCTAGTTCTTGAATGACCTCAACCTTAAGTTCGGCCTTCAAACGAGCGTCCCTCTCTTCCTTGGAGACTTTCCGTTTCCTGTATTGGGATCTGTACTGAGGGAGTCCATGCTTCCAGGGCACATCGCTACCAATTCCCCGAGTTCGGCCAGGATGTTCTTTGGTTCCGAGCGCCTTTGTGAGGATGTCATCTTCGCGCCTCTTCGGCGCGGACTCAACCTCGCTTTGTGAAGCTTGTTCAGCAACCAAGCCCAACTAGAAAAGAAGATAGTCGTTTATACGAACTTGTACTTTATACGAACGGAAATTAGTTAGGTTAAGTAGTGAACTCACCAGTTCCTGATAGACGACGGCATCACTTTTGTTCTCAAATGTGACAGAGCCGTCCGGGTTGACCTTACCCCTTGCCCGCGCCCAGTTGCGAGCTCTTTGTTCAGGGATGTCTGAAAACGGGGCAGGGACATTCGCTGCTGCAGCGGCTGCATCTTCTTGGGCCCATATTGCCTCCTTGCCGATGTACCCTGCGGTGCCCAGCCGATGCGGGTGCTCATTCCGCTGTTGCAGTACGCGATGTGCCTCGCTTGATTCCCTAAACTGTTGGGTGGTCTTGAGAGAGCAGAATTCCTCCCACACCGCTTCGGTTATTTGAGGGTATTCATCGAACGGCGTATGATTGCCGGGCGGGTTGACAAACTCGGTGAAGAGCTTCGACTTCCAATTCTTCCAAGCTTTGCCCATCTTTTGGAATGCCTTCCGCTTGAGCCTATCCTTTGCTTCGGCTGGAAATGTGAACCATTTCTCCATTGCCGTCCAAGCTCGCTCTTTCTCGGCTTCTGTGACCTTCCCGATATCTTTATGGAGGATCCCGAAGTTCTCACGTGCCGCTATCCCGCAGCAGTTAGACCATCTTCCAATGACAGTCCTGGGCGCCGTGGGCCTACCACTAGCGTCAACCTCTCTTATAACTTGCACTGTGGTCGGCCATATATTATGTGACCGCGGATTTCTACTAGACCTACTTGCACTTGTCCCGCCCGACATCGACGTATGTTGTTCATGCGGCAATTCTGCAGCACAAACAGAAGGCAATATTTGCTAAGGGGTGCTAGCAAAAATTTATGTGGTCATGTGGTGAAAATTTATCCTATAAATTACCATGAATTTCGTGTTGTTGGACCGCCGTTGTCGCGGGATGAGCTTCGGCAACTGCCTCTGTGGCTGGGTTTGCTTCTTCCTGGACCCTCGCAGGTGTTGGGGAGGGTGGGTTTGCGCCGGGCGTTGACATGGTTTAACTTTCGCGAAAAAGATTATAAATTTCCTACCATTAGACTAAATAGCATTAGATCCAATGTAATACGGGGTATACTATGAAAGATATGGCCTCAGTTTTGCTGAGAAATATGCATCAATTACAATCATTTGCATGAAGGGATAAAAAGAGGAAATCAGCTACTAGGAGAAAAAAGCAACCCAAAGAAAATAGAACAAGTGTAGGTAATCTGTTCTTATCCATATGCGTAAAGAGCAAGTAGCAGGGCCATATAATAGCAGCAATAAGAGCAGTAGCAGGGCCATATAACATCAGTACGGGTATATATGCCACAGGGGCAGCAACAGCAGGGGGAGATTCACATAAACAGCAACAGCAGGGTGGAAATTCACATAAACAGCAACAGCAGAGGGAAATTCACATAGACAGCAAGGGTATATAAATCAACAAGTGTAGATAATCTGTTCTTATCCATAAAGAAAATAACAGGTATAGATAGAATGTTATTAAGCAATTCATCCTTGGCCATTTAACAAGAAGTACAGGGGCAACAACAGCAGTGGTATATAAATCATGCATATATTATTGTAGATAAAAAAATGAACAAGTGCAGAAAATATGTTCTTATGCATAAAAAAAGAGCAAGTGCACAAAATCTGTTCTTATTGAGCAATTCATCACTGGCCATTTAATAAGGAACACATTGGGCAGCAGCAGCAAGGGTATATAAATCATCAAAGAATGACAGAAAACAAAATGACAGGCAACCATAGGCAGCAGCATGGGCAAACATAGACAGCAAGGCATCAAAAAAAATTATATAAATCATGTATATAAAAAGCAATTCATGCAATTCACCTATTCATAGACAGCAAGGGTATATAAATCATGTATATAAACAACAATTCATGCAATTCACCTATTCATAGACAACAAGGGTATATAAATCAACAAGTGTAGGTAATCTGTGGCCAATCTATCAACAAGGGTATATAAATTTCAAACCCTAAACCTAATAAAGTTCCTTCATTATCAAAGAATGACAGAAAACAAAATGCATGGAGAATTTTGGTGTCTAGGTCGGTTCCGTCCATGGACTACACTGACCAATCCACCAAAATTCCCCATGCATTTTGTATTCTGTGATGGTTTGATAACCTCGGATTCCCCAAAGTTCATCATTCGTTCATCCATTCCATTGCATCATTCATTCATGCATTAACTGCACCATTCCATTCATCGGCATCAGAGAGAGAGGGGTACTTGGAGAGGAGACGACGAGCAGAGGAGGCGGCGCACGGTGACGACGAGTCCCGGCCGGCGCACGGCGCACGGCTTCTCGGCACGGCGGCGCGGCGGCGGCTTCTTGGCACGACGGCGCTGAGGAGGAGAAGAGGGGGTTAATCGGCGACCAATAGTAAACGAGGGGAGGCGGGGGCCGTGGGCTCACCGTGGAGGTCCCGGTGGCGGCGATGACGGTCCTGGCGTGGCGACTAAGAGGAGGTCCCGGCGGCGGTCGAGAGAGTGAGTGAGGCGGCAGCAGTGCAGAGGGCGGTGTAGAGGGTGGAGAGGGCGGCGGAGATGGCGGCGGAGAGGTCGAGGCGGCGGTGGAGAGGAGGGCGGCGGAGAGGTCGAGGCGACGGTGGAGATGGCGGTGGAGATGGACTGCGGCGGTGGTGGTGCAGGCCGGCGTCGGGAAGGTCGACGGAGAGGGTGAGCGGCAGAGAGGTCGGCGGATTTGGCGGCGGCGAGGGCGGATTTGGCGGCGGCGAGGGTAGCGGAGAGGTCGATAGGGGCGAGGCGGCGGTCGAGAGATGAGAGTGGAGTGAGAGTGGGTGCCGGATCTGGATCGATGTCCAACCCTAGGTCAAGCCTAGTCAAACTCACCTGTGACGGGCGCCAACTAGTTTGCCGTCACAGGTGGCCTCACCTGTGACGGGCGCCAACCGTGGAGCCGTCACCTGTGACGGCCCTACAGATAGAGCCCGTCACAGGTGAGTTTGCCTAGAGCAATTTTATTTCACTTTCGTTCGCAAGTGCCGGATCGGAGCTTGACTTTTGGGTTGGGAACATGTAGTACTGTAGACCACTGTAGCAGTGTCAGGGCGTCAGGGACACTGGAAAATATTGAAAGCGGCAGCCTGGACGCCGTCTATGGCCGACACTTTCCGTCGCCGTGCCGTGCGATGCCGGGCAGGGGCTGGCAGTGGAGGTACTGTAGCATGCGAATTAATGGGTGTTTGCTACGCGGGTGAAAGAGATATTTGCTACGCGGCACCAATTGTGAAAGAAATATTTGATATGCACACACATGTGATTTCTTTAATAATAATTTTCATAATATGTGAAGATTCGGACATAAATAAATGGTAAACCATACAATCCTGAAAATTGAAGTACTGAACATACGACAAGCATTATGGATAACATCACCTACCTAATGGTAGTTATTGTACGCATCATCAGCAATACAGTCACGCAACACGCAGAATCTGAGGGTTGTAATCTAAGAAGTTGGGATCAACCGGTTTCAATATTTTCCCAGCGAGATCATTCATAGCCTGCAAAACATGGTGGAAGTGAACCGACACTGTCGAGTTGGAGCGGACCCACCGATTGTTCGCGTCTCTGATTGGACGATTTCCACCCATCGTGTACAAGAAAATACCAAGCTTTTCCATGGAACAGACCCCTGCTGTTCCTACAAGACCAAAAGAAGTGACCAATAGATCATGCAAATTGTGTATCTCCTCTGCAGTAAGCCTGAACATTGCCCTGCATTGGCTTCGATTTGCCATCGTGTCCATCATCCAACTGATACCGGTTTGCACCGGTATTCTCCTTGGTGCCCTCTCATTGAAATCAAGGGTAGCAGCCATGTACTCAATGATGGCATCTTCTTCTTCGCTGCTTGTGTGACCGCCTCCATTCCAACTCGATCCACCCGCGCCGTAACTCATCGCCGATTTCCTTTAACATATGAGAACCGAAGAATAGGCAATGTTTGTCATAATCAAAAGGATAGAAATTAATAATGGCAGTGATCTATGCAATCGAAGAATTATTTGGATATAAAAGCAATGCAATGGAATACGTAGTTGCTCGAATTGGATATAAAGCCGCAAATGTTTACGGACTCACAGAATGTAAAAATTGTTAGCACACTGAGTTCTAAACATAAATAATGGTTTATTTGAAAAACATCGCCCATCACAACTCAAAGTAAAGTACAGTGCACAAACTACCAGGTGCCACCAGATGACTGTCCAGTACCACCAGTGCGTATAAATTCCAAGCGCCTAGCGGCGTCCTTGATTCGAACAAAGCATTTGCAGTTGAATGGGTCACGGAATAGCGCACAAGCAGCATACCACACACTTCCTCCAATTTCATGGCCATCATTTTCCACCAACTCCATGCACGCATCAAGGCCCATAGACTTCTCTGCTTCCATCTGAGCAACACGACTCTGGTAGCTCTGCTCTCGGATGTCCGCAATCCTCTCCAAAGCCAGTCCAGCGGAGTCGCTTCGTGACTTCTTGGAAGAACTCCCTGAGGCAGTAGTGTTTGCTGCTGGCCTCTTTCCCTTGCCCCGGTCTGCTGCCGTTGGGGGTGGAGTTGGAGGTGGTGGTCTATAAGCAGCAGCGAGCTGCGCCATGTCGATGGTCTGCCACTGAACTGCTCCTTGCGGTGCCTGTGGGGCTGCCCCTGCGACGGCGGAGTGGTTTCCGACAACTGTGTGCCCACTGAATACCGTGTGGTGAAGGTCAATGTGCTTCAGAGGATCATTCCTGAAGCTTAAGACACCTTTATTTTGCTGCAACATAAGTAGACAGTAAAAATAAGTTAGTACAAGGCAAGTGCATTAGGCTTGTGCAAACATTGAACATAATGAATATGTGCAGTCCAATGTGCATTACTACTAAAATGCTGGCAGTAAATGTGCACATTGGTACCAAGTTATCAAATATAATCAGGAGTACATGTTACAATGGGCCACACATCTGACAGAATGAAAGAAAGATAGTTTGAACATTGTAAACATAAGATAAACTGCATATATTATATTCTTTGTAGATGAGCACATTTTTGTTCATTCTCTCTATATACATCACAAAGAAGGTGTGTACAGCTAGTTGAATATGTATTAACATGTTCCTAAATGACCCTAGTATGCGCAGACCTTAGGATTTGGTCAAAATAACAGATTTAGAGAGATTTTTCGTAGTACTAGTTACTGCCCTGTTTGCGTCTAGTTTTGTGTGAACCCTGTAACAAATTTGACAGTAATACACGGCTAATGCTGTGTTTCTGGAAAATTTTAAAATGTACTGGTTCAAGTTTCAATGATTCATACATCTGAACTCAGTTGAACTTTGTACAGATGGTTACACTGGAGTCAAAACTCTTAGGACAGAATATCATTATTATGCTCAAACTTAACATCATAACACCAAACCAAAACAGTATGTTTGTGATCTCCCTCTTTTTCACGCGTACGCTTTTCAAACTGCTAAACAGTATGTTTTTTGTAAAAAATTTCTATACGAAAGTTACTTTAAAAAATCATATTAATCCATTTTTTTAAAAAAATAACAAATACTCAATTAATCATGTAATAATAGACTTCATTTTGCGTGCCGGGGAGGACTCCTCCCGAACAGAGCCCTAATATAGGATCTACCGATATACTCATCTGTCCCAAAATATAAGAAATTTTGTACGGATGGAACACTCCAAATTCGTTACACTAGGAAATGTCCCCTCCGTCCAAAACCCCTTATATTTTGGGACAAATGAAGTAAGTGCTAACCAGTTCAGAAAACAGAAATAATGTTCAACACAAGCATATGCTGTGATACAGCATCTGAAGTATCAACTCACATGTCACATTCTACATGCAAAATCTGCTGCTTCAGAATAAGGCACCCCAAAATTGGGATGCCCATTCTAGTTGTACAGTACAATCCAAGAACCATTGTTTATTGTTTACAACATTTCTACATGAGTTTTAACACATAATCACTATTCCTGCAAAATAATGCTAAACGGATACACTACATATACACTACATATAGATCTTTCCTAAACATCATTTTGTTAACTTAAATACAAGGGAATGGCACACATTACTAAAAACGACATGACAGTAACAACTATGAAACATATGTGATCACAATCCTTCCATTTTACTGCAGCTAGTCATTTGTTGGCACACACAATTTGAACAAAAAAATTATTACACCTCACAAAACTGTATTTATAATTGCATGCATGTACTAAATTTCAGATAATACCAATTGTAAGCAAAATTGTTGGTTCAAAATATTTATGGTCAAGTGTACGTACCGCATTCTTGCTTTCCCACCACTCATCATCGGCAACAATGGCTGATGTATGGGGATCACGACCCAGCCCGCTTGCATGCGATTCTAGCCACACCCACCTGTTGTACCGCTTCTTACACTGCCCCCAAATGTACTCCAATTGAGCCTTGTTCACCTTCTTCTTGCACTTGGTGTACATCTTGTGTATTAGGTTCTGCCATGCCTGCGGCTTGGGGGAGTTGGAGGTGATGGTGAACGCTGCCATCTCCTCCAAGCAGCTCTCAAGAAACACACGAACCTCCATATCGGTCCACCGGCTACGGCCATCGCCCATCTACTCCGTGCAAGTCAAATAAAATTGAATCGGAAATGAACAAATTAATACAAACCAATACCTTAGATGACTCTTCCTCGCGGACGACGTCCCAATCAATCGAACGGCCGACGGTGGCAGGGCTCACTCTTCGAACAAAGTCGATGACGGCTCTAGGAGACTTGGCGCAAACTTTGCAGAGGGCATGCGCGATATGAAGCACGTCGTCGGGAGCAGCCTTGGCGCTGCCAGCGTCGGAGGTGACAGAGTCGGAGGAGTCCTCGCCGGACTCCAGATCGGCGCCGCGGACAGAGATCTCCCCTGTTTGAGGGGATTGAACAATCGTCCCCTCCTCTTGGATCGACAATAGATCCCGCTCTCGCTTCCGCTTCTTCGCTGTCGTCTCCATCGGACCACGCACACGCTCGGCCTGAAATAGAGACTCCTCAAATCCGCCAGCTTGGATGCCTTGATGAGACTCTTCAGGCCAGCACTGTCTGACCCGAGAGGCAGAGAGGACGAGCACACAGGCAGCCAGACTGCTTGCTACTTCACAGCGAGCACGCCGGCCAGCTTTTACTCCCCTCGAGGACGACGCAGACAGCTCGACAGGCGTGGAGCTCTTCCACTTCCCCCCGATTTTGAGCACCTTGAACCGACCGCTGCCGCAAGACGACGCGCGGACGAGAATCGATTGGGGGGGGGGGGGCACGGGCCTGCAAGCCACAGTCGAAAGGGGAGGACGGGAGCCTGCAGCGGAGGGGAAGAAAGAGGGATTCTCCGCCAGGCCTGCGTCGCATCGACGACCGCGGAAGCAACAGCGAGAGGAGGAAGAAAGAGGGATCGAGAGCATTGGATGCCCTGACTCTGACGGAAAAGCCGAGGCGCAACGGCAACTTCTCACATCCGTTAACGCCGTTAACGTCGCCTCACAAGCCGTCCTTCTGGTACTGTGTGCGGGACCACGCTTCCAGTGCACGGAACATGAACCGGATCAGGACTCGCACAACGGAACATGAACCTGTGACGGGCGCCAACTATGTGGCCGTCACAGGTGGCCTCACCTGTGACGGGCGCCAACCGTGGAGCCGTCACAGGTAATACCACCTGTGACGGGCCCAACACTCTGGGCCGTCACAGGTGAGGTCACCTGTGACGGCCCTACAGATAGAGCCCGTCACAGGTGAGTTTGCCTAGAGCAATTTTATTTCACTTAGTTCTTTTATTTTCCTTAACATATTTTCACATACACTACATATTTTTTTATACTTAATTATTTTATTTCACTAACAGTTGTAATTGCACTTCATTATTATACTACTTTAATTATTTTAGTTCCAATGCTTATACTTGCTTAATTATTTTAATTCACTTCTAGTGGGTGCTTTACTTAATTATTTTATTTGACTATTTCATAAGCAATATACTATTGATCATTGCGAACATATTAGAGTCATACAGATAACAGACATGTAGACATAAACTACGTACATAAATTACAAAAATAATCCTTCCTCATGGTCGACACGTGCATATTGAACTTCATCTTCTTCTTCCTCCTCTTCTAGAGGTATTTCTTGACCTATGCCGTGGACGTGCTGGTTGTAATCATCCTCGTCTGCAATGTTGTCCAATCCAACAATTCTCCTTTTCCCTTCACGAACAACATGTAGTTTCTTGTTACACGGGTCAACTATGTAGAACACTTGAACAACTTGTTTGGCGAGAACGAACGGTTCATCCTTGTACGCGTTGTTAGCCAAGTTGACAGTGGTGAAACCTTCATTGTCAACTTTTACATTGCGAAGATCGACCCATCGACAACGAAACAACGGGATTTTGAACTTCAAGTAATCTAGCTCCAATATTTGCTCAACTTTACCATAGTATTGATCACGACGACCACCGTCACTAGTAGCCTCGATGCGTAACCCACTGTTCTGCACTGTGCATTTGCTGTCTTGCTTTACCGTGTGAAAGGTGTATCCATTTATGTCATATCCTTGCCAGGTGGTGGCACTCCATTCAGGACCCTGTGACAAGCACTGAAGTGTTTCACTAGACAAGTTCTGCAACCTGGCAATTCGGTTCTTCAGCCACTCGTTGAAAGAAGACATGTGCTTATTCCTGACCCAACTCTCTGATCGGCCTGGGTTCTCTTGTCGGATAACTGCAAGGTGTTCGTCAACGTACGGCACCACCTCAGTCATATGCTGTAGTACCGTGAAATGAGCTTTATCGTACACCTTCCGATCCAACCTAATAGTCTTTCTTCCTACAGTACCAACACCGTCAAGCCTCCCTTCGTGATGAGATCGTGGTAATCCAATTGAAGATGTTTCTGACATGTAGTCCACACAAAATTCGATGGCCTCTTCGGTGGTGTAACTCTCGATGATACTCCCCTCAGGGTGTGAACGGTTCCGTACATAACCCTTAAGGATCCCCAGGTACCTTTCGCAAGGATACATCTGCGTCATGAATGCTGGACCACAGCACTTTGTTTGCCTCACAAGGTGCACCGGAAGATGTTCCATTATGTCAAAGAAAGTTGGAGGAAAGTACATCTCAAGATGACATAGGGTTCTCACAAGTTCTGCCTGTAGTTCATCTAGTCCCTCGGGGTCAATGATCTTCTGGCCGATTGCATGGAAGAAGGAACACAACCGCTGGATCGTGTGTCGCACCTTAGGAGGCAAAATATTCCTTATTGCAATGGGCAACAGCTGTGTGATAAGAACGTGGCAATCATGCGACTTCATTCCAACCAACTTAAGATCTTGCAGTGAAACAAGCCTACTGATTCTTGATGAGTAACCAGATGGAACCTTTATACCACTCAAACATGTTAGCAAATCAATCTTCTCTTCTTTCGAGAGAGTGTAGCAGGCTGGAGGAAGGTAAACCCTGCCGGATTCCGTGGTTATGGGATGTAGCTCCGACCGAACACCCATATCTTCCAGATCTCGTCGGGCGTTGAGACCATCCTTTGTAGTACCTGGGTTAAGCAGTAATCCCATTAAACTCTCGCATACATTCTTCTCGACATGCATCAAATCTATGCAGTGGCGAACTTCAAGATCCTTCCAGTATGGTAGTCTCCAAAATATTGACTTCTTTTTCCACATGCTCCTCTCTTTTGTCTTTTGTTTTTCCACATGCTCCTCTGTTTTTTCCTTCGATGTGCTCTTCTCTTTTCGCTTTCCAACTTTCCTCTTTTTTCCAAACTCGTTGGTTATTCCCATCACTAAGTTGTGCACCTCTGTCCCTGTTAGCTCTGTCGGGGGTCCGGCTGTATCTCTGTGTCCATTGAAATTCTTTCTCATATTCCTATACGGGTGATACCTTGGGAGAAATCTCCTGTGACCCATGTAGACCGTCTTGTGTGAATGCTTCAACCATTTGCTTCTTGTTTCCTCCATACACTCCGAACACGCCCATTTCCCTTTCACAGTTTGGCCAGAAAGGTTGCCAAGGGCCGGATAATCGTTGATGGTACAAAACAGCATCGCATGGAGGTTGAAATACTCTTGTGCATATGCGTCCCATGTTCGTGTGCCCTCATTCCATAGCCTTTCGAAGTCATCGATTATCGGTTCAAGGAACACATCGATATCGTTGCCAGGTTGTCTCGGTCCTTGAATGAGCATGGCAAGCATAATGTACTTTCTTTTGAAACACAACCAGGGAGGAAGGTTATAGTTAACAAGCAGAACTGGCCATGTACTGTGACGACTGCTCAAATCACCAAAAGGATTAATGCCGTCCGTACACATTGCGAAACGCATGTTTCTTGGGTCATTTGAGAATTCCTGGTAAATCCTATCGATTGTCCTCCACTGTACTGAATCTGCTGGGTGCCTCAGCATAGTATCGACTTTCCGTTCTTCGGCATGCCAGCGCACAAGCTTAGCTTGTTCCTTGTTCGCAAACATTCTCTTCATGCGCTCCGCAATTGGGAGATACCACACCACCTTTGCTGGGCCTCCCCTCTTTGACTTACTTCCTTCACCTTCACTCTTTGCTCGTTTGTATCTTGATGCCCCACAGATAGGGCAGACATCCAAGTCAGCGTATTCCTTGTAATACAAAATGCAGTCGTTCGGACATGCATGAATTCTTCTGACCTCCAGGCCCAACGGACATAATACTTGCTTCGCTTCATATGTCGTCTGAGGTAAATTGTTCCCCTCTGGCAACAGATCCTTTAACAGCTCAAGGAGTTCTGTAAAACTCTTGTCCGACCAGCCATTACTAGCCTTAAGCTTCATGAGTTCCAACACGCATGACAACTTGCTGTGCTTCGACTTGCATCCATCATACAACGGCATCTGGCAATCTTCCACCAACTTACTAAACTTCTCATAATCTCTGTCGTTGTCCTCTGCGTCTTCAATGTCATGCAACATTGTAGATAGACATTGAGTGTCTAAATCTATGGTCTCTCCACCTAAAGGAGAAGGTACGAACATGCCTTCTCGAGCTGCGGCGGTGTTCTCTACATCCTGATCCAACACTTCTTCAGCTGCGACATCAGGCGCCTCTTGCTCTCCATGCTTGGTCCAGCAGGTATATTTCTTCATGAATCCATTCATTATCAAATGAGCATGCACTTCATCCTTGTCTTCGATCATCTGTTCATTCTTACAGTCCCTACATGGGCACAACATGTGCATGCTCATCCTACTTTTTCTGTCATTATCCGCAAATGTGACAAATTCAGTGACCCCCTCTCTATACTCGGTAGACGAACGATGCGCATAGTACATCCATCTACGATCCATCTGAAATCAACAACATACGAAGAAAAATAAATGATGATCGATATGTTGAGAATGAATGGAGAATAATGTGTTTTTAACCTTGAATTTTAGCAAAAAAATCGCCCCCCTTGCCCTCCCAACCGATGTGTGAGCAGTACAATGGTCGGGATGGAAAGCAGTTGGCAGTTTGGGGGTATTTATAGAGTCAACACACCTCAAACGGGTTAGATAAAAAAAGCCCGTCAAAGGTATTGCTCATACCTTTGACGGGCTTGTATTCAACGGCCCGTCACTGGTATCATCTCACCTGTGACGGGCCAGAAATTAAAGCCGTCACAGGTGGCGGCCCATCACCTCTGACGGCTTCTAATGTATTGGCCCGTCACAGGTGAGGGGATACCAGTGACGGGTTGGATGAAAAACTCGTCACTGGTATACCTCTGACGGGTTTTCCTTTCGGACCGTCACAGGTGAGGGGATACTTGTGACGGGCCGCGGCCAGATGCCTCACCGGTGACTGCATCCCGTATAACCCGTCAAAGGTAATGGTCACTACTGACCAATTCGTTTGCCCGTCACAGGTATCCCGTCAGAGGTGTGAGGATCTGGCGTAGTGACTGCCGGTGTGTTAGCTGAACACCACACGTTCTGCAGATTTCTTCTTAGCTCAGTCATAGTGCGGTATCTGGCTAGTTGTGAACAGGTTGGCTGAGCTAGCATTTCAACTGGCAAGGCGATTAGCCTCTCAGGTACCACAAATATATATACGACCTGAACAAGGTGCATATATATATACTTGCGGTTGCGTGTGGCGTATGCAGAATCAGAATTTGCAAGCTGATAAAAATATATAGGTTTCGTTCTACTGCGGATGGGAAGCATCAGGAGTTCGTTGGAACAGATAATCCAGCTGAGCTGTTTGTGTACACTTGCTCATCAGCTCATGTGCATTTGAGCTGGTGTTTCGCCCATTGCTACCCATTTACTCCTGTTGTTGTTAACGGTAGGGCTCCACACTAGCCGAGCGGTGCGTCTCCCGGCTCCATCATTCAGCACATTTGTAAATGAAAAATAATTAGCAAATACAATTTTTATATACATATTCTTAGTGATCTAAAAGCAAAAACTGAAAAATAAACATTGATAAAAAAAACTCTTGAAATCAACTCAAAATTTTTGACTGAAAATTTAAATTTTATCTTATAAGGATAAGCATAAACAAAAAATGAGGCTGCCCGATTGGTGCTGCGCAAGTTGATTAAGCTACTGGTGAAATTCCATCCAGCGCACTGTCGATCAACTCTGATCAACCATGCTACCAAC